ATAAAATTATTTCTATCTTAAAACAAATATAGAAGAGATTATACAAAAAAAACATGGTTTTCCTATATTAGACAATAATATGATTATGCATGTATTAGGTATGGAATCTCGATTTTAATTTTAAAGAAATATTTAACAAAAAAAAAAATCATTAGATTGTAAGACAAATAAAATACTAATAAAGATTACTTTCAAATTTATTTTAGGTAATATTTTTAAGATTATTATATTTAAGGCAAATAATGTAGGAAACATTCTAAGAAAAAGAGATGGCAATGCATAATTGAATGAATCTAAGTTTTGTTAGAACCATGTATAAAAGACAAACAAAAATTAGAAATACAAGTCAACAATCCAATCACCAATAAAAGCAAACAATCTTCATTAGTTACAATAACTTGTCTATGTATTGCTTGTAGGTAAAAGACTTGATTTCTTTGACATGAAGGATTACTTCTATTGCTCTTCATAGTAAACATATAGAAGATAATGTGGATTAATAAAAAATAAAAAAATTGAGCATTACAGACTCCACTTAAAATTATTTTAGAAAATAAAAGTAATGTAGTTATAATTCATATCAACTAATTATTATTAATAGATTTATTTATGAGCTAATTTGACAAGTTATCATTTAAGTAATATTTATATGATTTTTGGTTGAAATCAGATTATTTTAGTATATATTTTTTTAAATATATTTATTTATTTATATTTTTGAAACTATTCAATAACTTTTTTATATTAATTTTTGGATTATTTTACTAAGTGAAGGAATTTCTCCACCAAAACCAAAGAATTAGATTGGACAATATACATCCATGTATTGTATTCTAACTTTTTAGTTACTATATTAATAATTCAAAATAATAAAATATTTTATATATCATTATTTTGATATATATATATATATATATATATATATATATATATACTGAAGTATAGTTTTAAATGTTACTTTAGAAAAAGAAGAATTTGAGACACTCAAAACTCAACATTCTATTGGAAGTGAGAAAATGACATATATAACAAGGTTTGGCAAAAAGTTTTTATAATCGTTACATAACTATAAATTTTACTTACATAGAAAATGGAGATAGATTATAAATTTCATACATGATAAGAGGATTATTTATTTCAAAGTAAGAGCTCTAGTAATAAATATGTAAATATGGTAACTTGGAATTAACAATTGAAAATTAGAAACGGAAGGAAAAAAAAAAAAAAAAAAAAAAAAAACCCATAATTCATCAAAATAATGCCTTATTTTTTTCACCTCAAATAGTTAAATCAATAATGTATAGATTTAAAAAATTCTCTTAATCTTAAAATATATAAGATTTGACTACAATGATTTTGATCAAACCAGTAACCAGACTACAAAGATAGAAGTCATAGAAAGTACTATTCTAAAAATAGAATTTATTTTCAAAGAACTTCCTACTAACAATTCAAAGACTTAGAATGATATGTTCTTTGCCATATGCAATATAAATTAAGAAAGATGCTAAAATCTTTGAAGAAAAAAAATTGAAGCAATATCACCTAATGTGAACAAATTTCAATGAAAATGAGTGAATAGTCTTGGAGGAGGACAAGAATACATAGCTAAAAGCTAATATTATCAAATAGTGGGATTTGTTATAAATTTTAAGAAAAATCATAGAAAGAAAGAAAGAAAGAAAGAATATATATATATATATATATATATATAATAGCCTTTAGCTAAAATATATATATTCATAAATGTTGCAAAATAAAGTCCTAAACAGCAACACAATTACATATACACTAAATGGAAATAAATTTAATAGATTAGTTGCAAAATATTCACTAATTTTTTTCTCGTATGCCCACTTTATAACAAGAGTATTACGGCATAAGATGGGTTGTTGTTTTGCAATATTAATACCTATGCAACAGGATGACCTCAGAGGTGTCAATGTAAGACAAAAGAAAGGGTCACTTCATTCACGATCTGTGCCAGCTTCTTGGGAGCAGTTATGAAATCTGGTAGTGTTACCTTCTTCTATTAGTATATGGTTTTATTTAAATTTGTAGCATGGGAGTTGCAAGTGTATTGTTGAGAAGCCAGTCCTGGAAAAGAATATGACAGTCCCTTCATGAGAATTTTGGGCAGAATATGTCTAATGCCCTCACATTTGGGTCCTGCCCTCCACGCGGTAGGGTAGCGAAAAAAAAAAAAAAAAAAAAAAAAAAAAACTGGAGTTGCCCCACCCTTTGCAATGCATCAAGGGAGAAGATAACCTATTTGCAGTGGAAATGAGTTGGGTCAATGGGACTAAAAAAGAGGATACTACATCAAATACTTACCTCATTTCTCCCTTAAACTCATCCTCTATCTTGGAAATGAATATACTCCCCACTTCTTTTCCCTTTACAGAAAAAACAAGTTTTGTGTAGACTTCATGAAGATAGATGAATACAGTTAAACCTGGGGATATATATATATATATATATATATATATTTCCCCTTTATGATTTATATCTTTATTTTCTTATCAGGTGTGCTCTCTGCTTTGCCAAGTTCAGCATGACCCCTAACTCTTTTCGGGCCCTTCCTTGCCCCGGCGTTCTGCCTCGGAATAGAATCTCAAAATCTGGAGGATGTTTTTTTTTCCATGTGTACAGTTGTGGGCAACACCCAGTGAGCTGCCCCGGAGAAGAGAGGAACTAACTAGGTGGCAAGGTAGCTCTGGGTGCAGAGGGCTCACGACGTTATTGGAATTCGCATAATCCCAGCCTTGGTTTAGGGTTTGGGGCCCAGGGGGGGAACCTTGCGTTTTGATTGGCTGCATTACAACTCAAGTTCTCACAGGGTTGATATTTTTATGGCTCGTTGGAGTTTATCTTGTTCATGATTATCTCCTTATTTCGGTTCAATTCTATATTAACTTTAGAGATACACAAATTCAAGGTTTTTGTTACCTGGAATTATGGTACTATAGGCCGGGTAGACAAGTTTATGATTGGCTGCATTTTAGGTCATATTGCAACTTGAAGAAATTCCAAGCCATTCTCTGCACTCCATCTCCATTTTAAATCAGCATTGTAAATAGACATTGTGGGTTCTCTCAATTATTGTTCAAAACAAATTATAAACCTCCTTGCAGTGTGTCTACTCAGTTGGAACTATTTTCAGTCTGCCCTTTCATCCTCCCAGATAGTGGCTATTGCCAGTATGGTGTTTGATATTTCTTCACTTACTTTGAATTTACAAAGTGCTCCTTCTTTCTTAATTTCTCATGATTTCTTTCTTCCCCAAGAGGCCAGGAATGAGAGAGGGAGAGCAAGGGTGTGATATGATCAAGCAGGATTAAGTTAGCCACAGCCGGGTTTTGTTGTTGTTGCAAATCTCAGTATGGAACCCATTGTCCATGATTGGCTTAATGGCCCACCAATGACCGCAGGGCTGAGTTAATGAGACTGTCCAACCCAATTTGGGGCATGGCTGCTTGTAACTAACTGCCTCATTTCAGACATCTTATTCAGGATTCTCAGGTGCAGGCTCCCTTTGCACTGAGCACCAACTTTTGTGTGGTTGTGGTGCTCAGAAAAGTGCTGCTCCAGTGCACAACCTTCTAATGATTATGGGGATGACTTGGCACCAGTGGACGGGGTTACACTGTGCTTGGAATGCCACACCCACTATTTGATACCTTTGAACTTTGTTTGTTCTATATTGTGCCCCACCTCTCTCATGTCAATCCCTCCTATAAAAACCAAAAGAGAAAATACAAAGAAGACAGAGAAAAAGATAATGAAGAAGAAAGAAGAATGTAGATTGAATGTTTGACATGATTCAGAATACTGTGCCAACCACTATCTCAGTGACAATCTGTTCTGTAGATAAGGTTTGTTGAAGATCAAAATAATCAGCACAATGAATAGGAGGAAAGCATGCATGAGTGGTTTATTTGTTCTAGATTGAAGTTCTCATCCACTTAGTTATTGTTAGTGACCAACGCTACAACTAGAAAGATCAGGTAGTAATCTAAAATCCTCTAAATACTTGGTTTTCATTTGGAATTACTAAACAGATTCTCATCTAATTTTTATGCTAATACTAATTTGTTCATTCTTTTTATTAATATATTTTTGAAGGTCATCTTAAAGTTTTATCAACATGAGCCTTCAACTTTAATCGAATAGACTCTTGAGAATGAAAAATTTGATATTATATATCTCACTCTCTATTTATATTTTTGTATATGCATATAAAATTAACCAACATAAATATACATTTTCAAACATAACATACATGAAGGGGATTTGAAAGCATAATCACCACAAACCATTGAAAGGTGAAGCTATAAAGTGATGGGGTGTTAATTTGCAAGGACAACTTTTGTGTGTAGGGCCAGCACACAACCAAAATCATTATACACAACATATGATGGCTCTGTGCATGCCACTCATTAAGCTCAAATTTTAGCACTGGAGAAACTACAGCCCTAGTTCAATCCCATGGGTGATGCAATTAACAAGTGTGATATAGCAATGCATCAGGTCATTAGAAGAGGAAGTGATGGCATGCATACATTGATCATTAAGGGAAAAAGTGAAGTTTTAAGCTTGATCTCAAATATATAAACAAAAAATCTGAGAACAGCTAAAGCATCAATTTTGATAGTTGTGTAGGAGGCTGACCAAGCTAAACTTGCACAGTAATGAAGTCGTAAAGAGCTCAGTTATGAAGGGCAAGAAGGAAAAAATAAAATAAAAAGAATAGAGAAGAAAAGTAAACACAAATACACAAAGCCAGCCACAGCTGAGACAGTGGAAGAGGAGGGAAACAAGCCAGAATTACGCTGTACCTGCAGAGGACATAGCCTCAAATCCATGGATCGAGATGGATTGCGTCGGAGGAAGTTTGGGCTGAGTCGGCTTGGCGGCGGGCTCGTAATGAGGGCGTTGAGAATACTTCATCACCCAGCCAGTAAGTCCAAACTTTCTCCATCCTCATCCAGCCTCGATTTCTCGGTTATTATATCAGCGCCTCTTACAGAGAGGGTCTTCTTCTCAGCCCCGCATCTTGGAGGTGGAGAGAGAGCTCAGATCTAGTTGCTCATAGGGGTCCCTGACTGCGGCTGCTTTCACAACACAGCGGTGACGATGACGGTTAGGAACTAAGAGCTGTATGCGAGAGATTTGGACTGTGAGGAGGTGGGGAGTTCGGAGTGAGCTGGGTCCACAGCTGCATAGTGTAGTTTTCTTCTGGAACAGGTCCGTGTGAGCCACTGGATTGTTCCGCCGCTGCGCAGAGAACATGTAATTTGGCTTTCATCACAGCGACCAGCGATTCGTTGTCTCATTGTGAGCGCATTCTACTGTCAGTATGCCGCCCTACCTTGCTTCCTGGAACCCTTCCGGTGTGGAGTATTTGGGCAAGGGGGGGAATGACTCATTGCTGATGAGTAAGCCACTTCCCACTGTTGTGGAGGGGGCCATCATCGTGGGCGGCGGACCCTCGGGGTTGGCAGCCGCGGCGTGCCTGGAGATGAAAGGAGTGCCGTCTCTGATCATTGAGAAATCAGATGGTATTGCCTCGCTCTGGAAGTATAAGGCCTACGACCGCTTGCATCTCCACATCCCGAAACAGTTTTGCGAGCTGCCTTACTACTCCTTCCCGGAGGATTACCCGCTGTATCCTAACAAGAAGCAGTTCGTCGACTACCTGGAGAATTATTTCCAGCATTTCGACATGAGGGCCAGATTTAACACAGAGGTTGTCTGTGCATCGTATGATCCCAGTTCCTCATACTGGAAGGTTCAGACGCGACCTTCCGGTTCAGGTTTAGATTCCGAAGGTATGCTGGAGTTTCGTGCGCAGTGGTTGGTGGTTGCATCTGGGGAGAATTCCGAGGCTTACACCCCTAAGATGGAGGGGTTGGATAGTTTCCAAGGCCCCGTCTTGCACTCCAGTAATTACAGGACAGGAGCCCATTACCAGGGGCAGCGAGTACTGGTCGTAGGCTGTGGGAACTCGGGAATGGAGATTGCCATGGACCTTGCAAATTTCAATGCGAAGCCTTTCCTCGTAGTCCGGAGCCCAGTGCACATATTGCCGAGGGAGATTTTCGGCACGTCGACGTTCGCCGTGGCAATGAGGATGATGAAGACTTTTTCGCTGTGGTTTACAGACCTGCTCCTCGTGGGGTACACTCGGGCTGTGCTGGGTGATATAACTAGCTATGGTTTCAAACGCCCCACGGACGGGCCAATGACCATCAAATGCAAGCAAGGTAAGACACCCATTCTGGATGTGGGGACTTTTGCGAAGATCAAGAGCGGCACCATCAAGGTGTGCCCGGGCGTGGATCATCTCACACCTACTGGCTCCAAGTTTGAAAACGGCCAATTTGAGGAGTTCGATGCCATCGTGCTGGCCACAGGGTACAGGAGCAATGTCCCCAGATGGCTTAGGGACGAGAGCGGTTTCTTCTCAGCTGATGGGCTTCCGAAAAATCTTTCTCAGGGAACCTGGAAGGCGGAGCGCGGTCTCTACGTCGCTGGTTTGGGAAGGAAAGGGATTTTGGGAGCCACCTTCGATGCCAAAAATATTGCTGAGGATATCAGCATAGTGTATCGCTCAGATTCCCATAAGAGGCTCATCTCCCCGCTCCAGTCTAGATAGCCATCCCTGTGGAAGCCTCCAAGGATTCCATATAAATTTTGACAGCCTCGACGTTACTGTTATTGCCAGCCTTTAAAATCCCTCAACCGCGCAAGTTTTCGGTACCCGTCAAACCAACTCACTCTTGGTTACCAAGCTCCTCATGCTTGTAGAGTAATAATTCGTTTTCTTCCCGCAGCATTTCAAAGTTTATCAAGTTCGCGCAAGAAGTAACGATTTTAGTTCCGGCGCTTGATACCTCGCGGGATGTTGACTTATATTACAACCGTAGAGGTGCAGGCTGAAATTCGCAGCTAAACTGTTAGCAAAGAAGGGTAGAATCCACCTTGTGTCTTTTTTTTGAGACGAGGTTGAATCCATAAAGGAAGACGTTTTAGATTATATTTACGTTGAGACGAGCCTTGATATTTGTTTGGGGACAGAAGCTTGTGCACCCCTCAAAACCCAACATGTACCATACATTGATTTTTGCACAAGATCTACAATACTCTGGCCAAATCAGAGGTTAGACCTTGAATTTTATTTTAACATTTTGTTGCCAATTCTCCTGAATTCGAAATCAGTCTCATGGATCATCTTGCCCACCGTCTCGGATTCTGTTTCCTCTCTGTGATGCTCAGCTGTGGGAAATGTTATTTCTTTGATAAGTGTAACTCCCGATGGTTGTTACCGTATTTGCCGCAATGCAAAAACTATGAAAAGTGTGTGTTGAACCGCAATTGAACAATACGACAAGACCGTTGTGTAGTTCCTCTTGTACAGAAATGAAAATCCATGGCTCCCTCTGCTCGCGACTGACAGGCCTTATTATTGACCCAGACTCTGGAAGTCGCTAAGAGTGGCTGAGTGCCGCCGGTGGTCCATTTCCCTCTCCTTCAGAATGCCTTCACTTGCAAAGTCAATAACTCTCATATTAAATAATGAAGAATTAAAACGTACCAATCGGTGCAGATCTTGGTTTGAGTGAGAGATTTAGCCTTAGGTAGTGAGTCAGAATTCTGCAATACAAGCCTTGAGCTTTTAACCACGAAGTCAAGCGTATCATATCATATCAGTTCGAAATCCAGCATCTTCAACTAATATGTGGTGATTGATTTTGTTCAATAAAGAAGTAAATGGGAATTAGTGCAGAGCGTTACCGCGCTTGCCAGGATTTCGAAAAACATTGAGCGCTTTGAAGGCACAGTTGCCGTGGAATACTGAAGAGAGGATCTTGTTAACACCTCTTCAATGAGATTCAAAGCAAACAGAATCTAGATAATCCTTTACAATACACATACGTAATTGCACAATTCAATTCTGTGAAAATTAGCTCTGTAATCAAACATTATTGAAGCATTCTTCAGCTCAACAGCATCTAAATTTGGTCGATAGAGAGGGAAAATCAAAATAAAAAAATGAAAACCTATCTTAACGTTTGAGTAATCCCCGCCACATACTAGGTCACTAAATTCAGTGCCCCACATTTTCCCTGTCTTTAAATGCAAACCCCACATTACCACCGAGCATTTGATGAGATGTATAATCACCAAACAACCCTAAAGTCATGATTCTAGTCTGTAGCGAAACAATGAGCTCACCCACATTACCCAAATAATTATTTTGTTCTTATTTCAAAAAGAAAAGAAAAGAAAAAAAGTTTGTTCGTGGCAGCTTTGTCGACATTGTTAGACAATGAGCTTAAAGATGATGATCACAATGCAATTGAGAGCATGGTTATTTTTGTTTCCTCATTTATTTAACGGGCAATGTTTGTTTTCTGAAATAAGTCTACGGGTTCTAAGGAAGGAAGGTGGTTATGGGCACTGACGACCTTTTAGCATGTTGGTCAGGTAGCGATGTCAGAGAGGGCTAGCTCGCTTTCTTCAAAGCCTCCCCGCAAGTGGTTCTCTGCTGCTCAGACCCATCATCAAACCTTTCTTCGTCGATAGTGTTCATATCCTCCCTTTCCGCCTCCTCGTCCTTATGTATTACGGCTGCCAACTAAAGTACCGCAGCTCATTATAACCAGCCTTTGATTGCCCCAAGACCTATTTCGGAACGATACATGGCGACACATGAGCAGTCAATCGAAGAGGATATGTGAAACTGAGTTGCGAGGCGGGAGGAGGATAACCAGTCAGTGAACGTTGGGGAGCGAGATTTTACGTCTGAACTCAGGAAAGTGGTCAGGGTATTGAATGCCGAGGATCGAGGTCGCGACAGACACACAGATAGATACACACACACACACAAAAACAAAGACTGAGTGGGGGGCTGTGGTGAAGAGAGCACGTATCTTCCTTCCTCTACGCGCCGTCAAGCAAAGGCTGCAGCGCTCATCATTGTTCATGGAAAGGTAGGTTTTCTTCATTTTTCCATCTATTCATTCTCTTTACATTTTTGAGTGTCAGGGTTCTCAGCTAATTCACCTCCACGTCCATTGGTCACGAACTCGGGGACTCATGGTCCAAATCCTAATTCTCGTGACCTTCCCCGTGAGTTGTGTTTTTTTAGAGTCGGGTTGATGGGATTAGAGTCGAACAAGTCTGCATGGGGCTGGCCAAAAATAATAGTAATAATATTAGGGGAATGTTAAGGAAACCCAGGCTTTTACTAAATTGATCAATCCATCAAAAAAAAAATGACCTCTAGATTCATTTTTCCTCTACTGAATAAAAAACCAATGAAAATCAACCACATTCGTCATGATTATCATATTTATCATCATGAATAAATTTAGTTGATTTGGTAAAAACTTGGGTCTACTTAACATTCTCCAAATAATAATCATCATCATGATGAAAAGAAACCTTTGAAAATTGGGTGTGCCCCCATTGTTGATGATGACAATGGTGAAAATAAGATTGCATTCTATTTCAAACACATAAATGTTGAGCTTTTTCCTTTTTGCCTTTTGATCCTTTTCTTAGTTCTTGTTGTTTATTTATGTGGTCAGTTGGTTCAATCTATTTTAACTGAATAATTGAACACAATAATTAAAACCTGGATGGTTTGTATTGAATCATTGCATGTTTTTGTTTTGTAGTTTATTTTGGTTTATTTTTAATTTTTTTTAATTTTTTGTAGATTTGACCAAAAAATAATAATTTGGAGACACCAACTTGTTTCATACCATTACGCAACAATTGAACATATCACCCTTTCATATACAAATACATATACACACACACACACACACACACAAATACACTGTCTATAGTTATGGCTTTCGGATGGACATGTTAAGGTAAAATACATTCAAAAAGTATTATAGGTAAAACGTTGTAAATCACCATAGGTGAGGAAGTTCAGAAATATTAAAAGAAGATAAATTTAAAAACAGTGGTAAACTATTAAAGTAACATAACTTTGTAATAAAGTACTGCAATACCCAAACTATTTCTTACCAGCATTTGATAATAAATAGAAAAAGTTTAAATGTAATAATAGTTGAAAATATAAATTATGATAAAAAAAAAAAAAAAAATGATTCCATGAATGTTTGGAGATTGTAGTATAATTGATAGCAACTTAACTTTTAAAAACGTGATCATTTCATTCACAACGGATATCACATTCTTTTATTGTGTATTTCCGTATGTAAAAAGATTCAGTGGAAAAATTAAACGTAGAAGTTCAATACTTATTTATTTATCTACAATAAAATATAATTCGTGATTAGAATATAATATGATACTTTATTTAAAATTTCGAATATCATATTACTTCCTTTGGTTATGTACTGTTTACTCAAATATAAGACTTTGAGTTTTTTCCATCATAATTTACAAACTTTAATTTTAATATTTCTTCCAGTTTTTTTTTATGAACATTGATTAAATAATAATAGAGAAACTCAACAAAAATTAATTATCTTCAATCTAAACATCTAACACCTTTGAAACAAAATCAAGCCAGTTGTTATGTGTGTGTATACAAAATCAAGCCAGTTGTTATGTGTGTGTGTATATATATATATATATTGTATATAATACACTTGTTTTGATGATTTATCTTTTGTTTAATAAAAAGAATAAAACTTCTAGTGTTTTCTTCTTTTCCTTGTTTTTTTGTAAATCAAGTATATTATAATATATTTTATTATTGAGCTGTTGAAGGAATTTATGGTATTTTTCTTCTGCTCAAGAAAATTTAACTTTTATAATTTATATTTCAATTATATTCAAATGCATTCTGACTTATGGAAGAACTGCTATCAATGCATTGGCATTTACTACATATATATATATATATATATATATATATATGCATATTTCTATGGCAAACATTAATTTTTACTTGACAATGATTACAGATATTCAATTTTATTGATTTTATATTTTTATTTTTTTATTTCCCGCAAACCAGCTTTTAAAGTTGGTACGCATGAATCGCATGAAATGCAATTTCTACACTGGCAAAAATTCGTTCACTTTATTTCCGACTGATCACTTTTTTCACATCAACATGCTGTATCGTAAATGCCACCATGCGCATACACACGGGTTGACAGAGGCTTCAATCAATGAACCGAAGGAAACCAAAATCTAGTGTTGAATCATCCAAACCATGTGCAAAAACCAGCATGGGGCGAGAAAGAACACCAGCACGAAGACGATCGGAGCCGCCGATTGCACACCCCGCGCCGACAAACCAGTTTCCGTGCATATATTTCTTTGTTTTAGTTACTCGTTTTTCGTTTGCTATGATTGGATTGAAGCGATTTCTCCTTCTACAGTGTTTCGAGAGACCGAAGACCTCAGTTTGCCTATGGACCCATCTCCAGCGAAGCCTTGTCTCTATGGTATCAATTCACAAGTTCCTGCAACATGGAAGCAATATGGAGGGTCTCGATGGAAGCGGTATCCCATGGTGTCCGATGGTGTCGGCAGGGCCACACAAAGGAAACTAGCTTTTGTTCGGCACCTGGAGGATAGAATTTCAACCACCTCCGTTTGCGAATGAGTTTCGTGCGATATACAATCAGAATAGGCGTCTGTTATTGCGGTAATGAGCGGTGACTCCGACGAAATCCTTGGTTCACAATATTGGGGCTAAGGCAACAAGATATGCGTGTGGAGTAGTGAAAGTGTAAATTCTCTAAAACTAGTTCCAAGGTGAATCATTTGCTGATCGGTTCCATACATACATGCATATTTAGCAGACGCTACTTGTGCAGTAGAGTCCACAAGATTATTATAATTCATATTATTGAATTCAGGTGGGTTCTAATATATATATTTATATATATACACATTCACACACACACTTTGTGTTATAGTTTACTTTTTGGGACCAAAGAAATTATTGATTATATAATGTAGTTGACTGTATAATGTTGACTTTACAGTGTAGTGTAGATAGTGCATATTGGAACCAACAAAATAAATTAATTATAACAAGGGTGATTATATATATATATATATATATATAGAATGTTGATAAGGCCACCATTGTTTTTTCTACTACTACCACAATCTACTATATATTTTGTATATTTCTTTAGTTTTTTTTAATTGTTAAGATTTTCAATACATTTTTTTAAAATAACATAATTTTAAAATAAAAAATAAGAAA